TCAGTCCTCTTTGTACCCACCTCAGTCCTCTTTGTACCCTCTTCAGTCCTCTTTGTACCCTCCTCAGTCCTCTTCATACCCACCTCAGTCCTCTTTGTACCCACCTCAGTCCTCTTTGTACTCACCTCAGTCCTCTTTGTACCCTCTTCAGTCTTCTTCGTATCCACCTCAATCCTCTTTGCTCCCATCTCAGCAGCTTCTCCCATGTTAATTACTGAAACTGCTTGACTTCAGTGCTTACAATAAGATGATCAGGGTCAGTTTTTATAAGTTGGTCATTCAACTGACGTATTATGGAAAAGCGTCCGGTCGTTTGATACAAATACACATCATCACCAGGCAGAGCGCCACATACACATTTCATCGCCCCAGCTCAAATGTTAAGGTCACAAATCAAGGTCAAAGTTAAAATAAGGTCTTTGCTTGTTTGACCCATTGCTACAGATTGTTTTGTAATGGTTTGTCGACGGGTTCAACAAGTTGAAAATATGTGTGAGAGGGCTGTGAGTCAGTTAAAATCTCCTGAGCAAGGTTTGAAACATTTTGGAGCTTCTGTTGTGAATGCTGTCCAACAACTAGTCCCAGCCCTGTAAGATCCAGGTTTTAGCTGCATTCACACTCGCTGTTAGCTCAAGCTGTGAGAAATCAACTCGTTCTCCAAACTGAGGTCACTCAGAACGCTGCACACAGAGATGCAGCCGAGCTAAACGCAGAACTCCATTTCAAATTGACTAAAATTCCCTTTAAATCTATGACTGTCTTTGTTTCCAGCTCTTTGGATGCTTGCATCGATTGTTTCTGCAAACGTTATGTCTTGCTGTGACTGTCACGCACAGACGCAGCCACACAATGCACGCCCTGCGTCTGGATTGTTCGGCAGGAGCAGATTCTGAGCCACAGCGCCGCTCCTACAGGGAAGTGTCCGCTCTCTGAATCGTATCGTCAATGAGGACCTCATTTTAGAGAGGGCTGAGCCGAGAACCGAACGACACCGTTCAATCAGAAGATAAGAGGAAATCAATAGGAGCGTGGAGACAAAACAAAAAAGATGCTTCCAGTTTTCTGTGTGTGTGAACAGACTGGAATATGTGAGCATTCTCTGAATAGAACAGACGAGGGACAAAGGCTGAGAAAAAGGGCGTAGAGTTTGATTTACATTCAGCGTTGGCTCTGCAGCCGCTCACAGGAAGGCGCAGACGTCTAGAAGCAGAGGTTTATTCTGCCAGGGACACACTCAACCTTACAATGCCGACGCTCGCTCCCTGCGGGTTCTCCTCTGTGAAAAATGGACGGGTAGCACTTTGCACAAAGCCCCAGAATGCAGCAATCAGCCGTAACAACCTACCTGTTGTTTCCCTTCAAATCACTCGCAGCTCTGAGGCTGACGTATGCTGCTTTAGGAGGCACGCAGAACTCCCCGAGCGAGGCTTAGCAGAGAGAGGTCGGCAGTACGGATTTAAAGGAAGACGTCTTAATATCAGCCTCTGCCGAGACTTTTCACACAAAAAACAGAACTAGGGTTAAACGTGTCCTACAAACACAACACTCAGACAGTGGAGCGGTTCAGAGAACAACCATTTATAAGAAGTACTGGAGAAAAAATGACTTTCTCAGGCCCGGTTCAGACCCAACATTAGCATCCATCCTGGGGTATCCAGTGGGCGGAGCTAAACGTTAACACTCTCAATTCGGACGTAATGATCCTGATGAAGTGTTTATGACCAACAAAAAGGTTTGTAAGCTCAATCATCCAGGTAAAGAAATCACAAAAAGAGTTACATCACGTCACAGATTCTTCTTGGAAGAAACGTTTCATCTTTCATCCGAAAGACTTTGTCAGTCTGAGGCCTGCCACCAAGACCTGTCTTATAAATAGCACCTCCTAGACGTGTTTCAAGCCAGCCCGCTGTGGAATTCCCACAAACGGCTTTACACATGCAAAATGAAGGCCCATCAGTCTAAAACAATCAATCATCAGTGTAACAATCAAATGTTTAAGGCCTGATGGCCGAATATAAGGTGTTATTTATACGACAGATCTGGGTGGCAGGCCTCAGACTGACGAAGTCTTTCGGATGAAAGATGAAACGTTTCTTCCAAGAAGAATCTGTCCAAAAGACATGATTTAACTTTTTGTGGTTTATTCAGTTCACGTCCTCTAACGTGGAAAAGGCTGAAGGAGATCCTTTCTGTTAAAGTTATGATGCTGAGACAAAATGTGCCCGTAGTGTTTAAAGGTGAGTCTGCCTGCCTCCTCTGGGACTGAGGCATGATGGGAAGTATTTACATGTTCAAGAAATTAGAATAAATTTAGCCTGCAGCTGTGAGTCAGACTGCTGTCTGTATTTGTTTTTATTCTCTGAATCCCATCAACTAAAACGTGCGACCCTCACCTCCTGCGCTGCTGGAAGCTTTAGCTACTAACCTTCAGCTACAAAACTTCAGCTACTAACCTTCAGCTACTCAAACTATGCACATATCCAAACATGCAGGACGTCACAGCTGTGGCTTTAATATTTTGACAAATTTAACTTTGGTTAAATTTTTTCCTGATAAATTTCTACAAATCTTTACAATCTTCTTCAGCATACCTGCTTCATATTTAACTTTTAGCTGTTGTTTTGCTTATTTAGGCTTTTAGCTCCTGCTTTGCTTTTTACCTACTATTTTTCTATTTTGTCTTTTAGCTACTATTTAACCCATTATGCAGTTTAACTCATGTTGGCATTTAGCTACTGTTTTGCTCTTTTTGAGCTTTTAGTTTCTTTTTGCTCATTTAGACTTTTAGAAACTGTTTAGCTAATTTTCAGGTTTTTAATTTTTATCCAGCATGTTTAGCTGATTTTGGCTTTTAGCTTTTTTTCAGATGGTCTTTGTTTCGTCTCAAGCAGCCGTCCAGACTGTGTCTTTAGCTGCTTCCAGCTGACTCTGTGTAGCTGAAAATCTCAGCTCTCCGACCGTTAGCTGACTGTGATGTAATCACAGCGCTCATGTGATAGTTCTGAGAGGTTCTTTAAGAACCATTTGGATTCTTTAGAGTTCTGATGGTTCTGTGACAGGAACAGTTTTTGACTGAACTGAGCCCGGACCACTCAGCTGAAGGTGCAGGGCTAAAGCCGAGCGCTGGCCTTTGTCTTCTTGAGCCTGATTGCTGTAAGGCAGGGGCACCATTAAAGTGCGGGTTCTGTCAGAACCTCTCTGGGGTTCTGTCAGAACCTCTCTGGGGTTCTGACGGTGTGACTGAGTGCAGTTACCGGGCTCACCTTGAACTCCTCCAGCGAGGCGTAGACGTTGCCTCGGAACTCGCAGTAGTTCTTCTTCTCCCTGCAGAGCGGGCAGCACTGACTCGTGTCCACCTTGATGCAGCGAGGGTGGACCTTGGGGCATTCGGGTTTGGTGCACATGGGGCCCTCGTCCGTGCAGAGACAAGGACACGTGGAAGGGCCCGGGGTGAACTGCTCGCCGATGGCGAACACGAAGCCGTTCTCGTCCATGCAGCCTTTGCCCCTGTAGTCTGGGTAGGCGTACTCGTCGATGGCGTCCAAGGACTGTGTGAGGTCACTGGTTGGACCCTCGTCTGTCTGACGGTCCTGTTCGCTCCGGAGCTCCGGGGACTTCCTGTCTTTGGACCCCTGTGTCAGAGAACTGAAGTCCGGCCTGGCGAGACTGGAAGTGGTCCTGTTCGGGCCGAAAGTGTTTGTTTCCTCCAGTCGACGCTGAGCAGCGTAATCGTCCGCGGGGGCTTGTTTGTGTTGCTGTTTGTCCCCCCGGGCCTGGGTCAGCACCCGTTCCAGGCGGTCTCTGCTCACCGAGGAGGTCACCACGGGGTTGCACAGAACGCCGCTCAGCGGGAGCACCAGGAGGAAGAGGACTTCCGCTGTCATGGTAACGGAGCGCAGCATTTGTTCCCACCACCGGCAAGGTGGGAAAACACCTTCGCTCACATAACACGCTTCACATCTCAGGCGCCAGCCGGTCCATCTGGAAGGAGAAAATTAAACCGGGGTTATGTGCTCTGTAGTTTTATCACTTCTTTTATTTACCTGAGGTCTGTCTTCGGCTCGAACTCAGAAATCTGAGAGTAATGAAATCCTGAGGCTTGGAGGAACTGAGTCACCAGGAAGAGTTATCAGGAAGCTGCACGAGGAACATCGATCAGAGACCAGAGTCCGACCGAGAAAAGAATCTGTTCTGTCAAACGAGTCAGCTGTACAAGAGGACACAACGTCCCTCTGCAAGAACAATAATAATTAGTGCCATAAGGGGAAGAAGTTACAGCTTGAGTTTCAAAATAAAGGCACATCTGCTGCAGCTTTGTTAAAAAACAGCCTCAGTGTCTTTGCGCTCCGTTTAAAGCTGAACTGTGATTCTACGTCAACAGAAGTCCAGAGAATCCCTGGATCAGCTGCTTACAGAGCTCATTTAAAGAACGACTGTTTTCGCCTTCTTAACTTGATTTACTGCAGCGTTTTAAAATTCAAACGCTGCTCCGACGCTTCGCTGCGACTGCTGGCCTACTTCGGTTTGTTTCCGTCCTCGCACCAAACGCGTTGCAGACGGAGCTGAGCTCACGTTAGGTCCTTCTCACGCAGTTTGTTCAGTTAAAACTGACCCAACACGCTCACAGCTCATCTCTAAGACGAACAAGCATTCCTTTAAGGAATGCATATCACCCGCCGCCTTTCATGTCAGAGTTTCAGACCTACAACGTTGAGTCCTGCTCAGAGCATGTGTTGGAATTGACTCTCAGCTTGTTCTGCACCACAAGTGAGGGAAGAATGGAGCGTGAGATCAGCAGACGGACCGGTGCAGCTTCTGCAGTACTGTGGACTCTGAGCCGGTCCGTTGTGGTGAAGGGGGTGCTGAGCTGTAAGGAGTTCTGTTTACTGGTAGGTCTACGTTACCTCAGTTCTGGTCCTGGACTCTGGGTAAAGCCTGAAAGAATCAGATCCTGGATCCAGGAGGTCTAAATGAGTTTCCTCTGCAGAGCTGGACTCTCTCTTAAAGACAGGGTGAGAAGTTCAGTTATCAGGAGAGACTCTGAGTAGAACCACTGCTCCTCCACATCCAGAGGAGCCAGCTGAGGTGGTTCAGACATCTGGTAAGGATGGACCCTGGACACCTCCCTAGGGAGGAGTTCTGGACAGGTCCAACTGGGAGGAGACCCCAGGGAAGACTCAGGACATTCTGGAAGAGCTGGAAGAGGTGGCTGTGGAAAGACATGTCTGGACCTCTCAGCTCCAGATGCTGCCCCCAAGACCTGAGTCCAGAACAAGATGATGGATGATGGTTGGATAATGAATGGAAGACAGATAATGGTTATGTAATGGTTGGATGATGGTTGGATGAGGGATAATGGTTGGATGATGATTAGATGATGGTTGGATAATGGATGGATGATGGATGGAAGCTGGATAATGGTTAGATGATGGTTGGATGAAGGATCATGGTTGGATGATGGATGGAAGATGGGTGATGGTTGGATGATGGTTG